TTTTTTTCAGTTTGGATCTTTGAAGTTGATAGAAGATAGTCTCATTTATCTGCATATTATGAAAAATTTCCTACAGTCCTTAGCTTTTATAGACTTTTTAAAGCAAGGTCTCACTGTGTAGCCCAGATTGGCCTCAAACTTGAGGCAGTCCTGCCTCAGCCTCCCGAGTGCACCAGCCTCACCGACCCATGCTGTTCATTTATTTAATTTTTTTTTTATGCTGTTCATTTATGTTCTTCCAAGTGCTTTCTTTTTTTCTTTTTGGTGGAACCGGGGATTGAACTCAGGCCCTTGCGCTTGCCAGGCAAATGCTTATTCCACTGAGCCATCTCCCCAGCCCCTCCAAGTGCTTTCTTCATCGGTAACAAATCAAGGATACCTAATTTAGGAAACCTACATTTACTATTCAGCAACCACTGGGAATGACTGAGTAGTTAGTATGGTACTGTGACATTCACAAAATATGAAAATTTTTTACATAAAAGTTCTTGCAGAGCTGGCCAAATAGCTCAGCAGATTAAAGTGCTTGCAAGCAGGGGCAGGGGCAGGGAATTTGATCCCCGGGCCTGCCGTGCCAGCCCTGTCCCTGGGACACACAGAGATGGCAACTGAGACTGGGCATGGTGGCGTGCACTTGTAATCCCAACTCTTGGGAGGCTGTAAACAGGCGGATCACTATGAGTCCGATCTAGTAGTGAGACCCTGAACACCCTGTAGACCCCTAAAATACTAATTTTTTTTTAAAAAAAGCTCTTGCTACAGTAGTTCTTAATTTTGTTCTTTACATTCTGAAACAGGGTCGAGTTATGCAGACCAGCCACACACACACACACACACACACACACACACACACACACACACACACAGCCACTGCTTTTTCCTGTCCTCCACCCTTTCTCTGAAGTGCCCCCTCCAGTGTCCTTGGCCATCCAGTCCCGAAGGGGCTCCCGATGGACATCTCCCTCGGCGAGCCAGGGTCTCCTGAGCCCAGCGTCCTGCCGGTTCTGGGGGCTCTCACAGTGAGCCCTGGCCACAGGGGCAGGTGACAGTTGACAGTGCATAGTAATAAAGCTTAGGCAAAGCGCGGCTCTGCGTGTTGCGTCCCACACGCCAGCAGGGAGCGCTTGTCGCCTGTCCAGGGCCCGGGGAACTTGTCTGAATCTCCCAGGGAGCCAAGCTCACAGGCACGTGCGGGGTCTGAGGTCTCCGATGCCCTGGGACTCCTGGCCAGCGCAGGGCGCTGGGCACCTGGGGTCCTGCAGTGTTGCCCGCGGCCACTAGGGGCGGCATGGCACAGCGGGACGAGGCCATCTCGCCAGCTTGGACACCGCACTCAACCCACAGAGGCCAGAGCTGGGTCTCGCTGTCACTTGTGCAAAGCCAAATCAAGAGGCGCCCGCACCCACCCGCACGTCACACTGTTGTTTCCACTGGCCATTACCTTTGATGGGGAAATTTAAAATTTTTGTTCTACAGCCAGATATGAGGGCACACGCCTGTCATCCTGACACTCTGGTAGGCTGAGGCAGGAGAATCGCAAGTTTGAGCTCAGCTGTGGCTAACTCAGCAATTTAGCAAGACTCTGTTTCAAACTTTAAAGATTAAAATCAAAAAAGGGCTGAGGAATCTAACTCAGTTCAAAGGCCCAAAGTTCAGTCCCCAGTACTTGAACAGGCGTGTGACACACATTTGTAATTCCAGAACTCAGAGACTGAGGCAGGAGGATTGTTAGGAATTTGAGACCAGCCTGGGCTACCAAGTGAGTTCAAGGCAAGCCTGAACTACATGGTGAGACCCTGCCTCAAAAAGACATAATAAAGGGCCTGCCAAATAGCTCGGTAGATTAAAGCACCTGCAAGCAGGCACAGGGGCCAGGAGTTCACAGCAATTGAGACTGGGCGTGGTGGTGTGTGCCTGTAATCCCAGCTCTTTGGGAGGCTGTAAACAGGCAGATCACTATGGGTCCGATCTAATAGTGAGACCCTGAACACCCTATAGAGCCTAAGATTTAAAAAAAAAAAAAAAAGACAAATAATAAATGAAATTTGTTTCTATTCTGGGGAGGGCAGGGGAGGATCCCTATGTCCCAGGGCTGCCTGCAGGCTATGCACTGGGATGCTAAGAGCCAGGCTGCCCCACAGAGGGTGCAGCGGGGTACCGGCCTCCCCCATACCCACGTGGTCCGGGCTGTTCAGTGCCCACCCATCTGGTGCATTCGGCTGCTGGCCCCCCAGGGATGAGATGCAGCCTCGCTCTCCACACACCAAGCCAGGCCACCCTGAGGAGCTGGGCCAGCTGGGAGCCCTGCCCTGCCCGGTTCCAGGAAGACGCTCGTGCGTGTGGCCCGAGGCAAGCCTTGCGCTTGCTTGGAACCAGGGCCAGCTTCTGATGGCCAGAAGCCTCCAACAGGTGGTGGCTGCCTGCTCAGCCTGAGCACCGTGGCTGGGCTCGCAGGGGCTGTGTGTTGTATTTTAATTAATTAATTTATTTTGTTTGGCGGAACCAGGGGTTGAACTCAGGACCTTGCGCTTCCCAGGCAAGCACTTATTCTACTGAGCCATCTCCCTGGCCCCTGTACTTTAAAATAGTGTAAATTGGGTATGGTGAGCCAGCCCTGTAATCTTAGCACTCAAGAGGCCAAGGCAGGAGGATCTCTGAGAGTTCAAGGCCAGCCTGGACCACATAGTAAGATCCTCTCTGGTCAGATCAATCCATTAAATTATTGCCCTCCACAGTCATAGTTGATTTCCTTTCCTTTTTGTTTTGCTTTTTTTTTTTTTTTTTCTGTATTTTAGGGAAGGGTCTACAGGATGTTCAGGGTCTCACCACTAGATGGGACTCATAGCGATCCCCTATTTACAGCCTCCCAAGAGCTGGGATTACAGGCACGCGCCACCACGCCCAGTCTCAATTGCCATCTCAGTTTGCCCCGGGGGAGGGGCTGGCACAGCAGGCCTGGGGATTGAACCCCTAGGGTTTTGCTATGTATATAGGCTGGCCTTGAACTCACTGTGGAATCTACTCCAGCCTCAAGCTCACAGCAA